CTGCTACCCCCGCGACCCGACCCCGGATAAGCGGAAGAAAATGGATAATGGATGGATGGATGGATGGATACTACTACTACTACTACTACTACTTGTACTACTATCCCTACTTTGTGGTTTTTCACTTATTGTGGGGGGCATTGTCCCTAACACGGGCAGTAAACGAGGGACTACTATACATGTACTTATACATGTACATGTACTTATACTGTACATGTATTTATACTGTGCATGTACTTATATACTTATACAGTAGTTTACTAAGTTTACATGTAAACAAATACATGTAAACTTAGATTGTCTGTTTGTTAGCAACATATCTCATGAACAGCTTGTTGGATTTTTTTAAACTCAGAAAGTAATCATCAGATATATCTCTAGAACTGATTAACGTTTGGAGCCATTTTGGATCAAGATGGCTGCCACAGCTACCTCAGAAAAGACGATATCGACTATAACTCAGTCATGCTTTGAGATATTGAGATTACATTCTGTGTGGTCGTAGCTGAGAGCGAGCGTTATACATTCCTGATGCAAATCAAATACCAAGATGGCCACCTTAGTTAAAAGGGAAAATACTTTAACTCAGCTATTTTAAAAGATATTGAGTGGAAACGTGGTATGGTTCTACCTTACAGCGATGCACAATAAATTCTGAATTCAAATTTAAAATTTCAAGATAAAGTTAATTTTATATATCACTCAGCCGTTTTTTGAGCTGTTGAGCTGAAATTTTGTTTTGGGAGCTCAAAGTGATTCCTAATAAACTCTGCAAATCACAAATCCAAGATGGCTGCCTAAGCTTAAAAAGTAAAATAATCGTACCGCCATGTGGCAGTCCTGGTCAAAGTTCTTCCAATACTTTTCTAGTTTAGTTTATCAATTGATGATTTACCTCATTATGCTTATTTTGATGTACTTTTCATTTTATTACCAATTTTGATATTTCTGCATTGCCTTTATGTTTGTTGTGTTTTAATAATGTTATTTTTGTTGTGGTCAACAGCTTGTGTGTTCTAGTATACGGTGCTGTAACAAAGCCCTCGTTATGTTTTGCAGACTAATGAGAAGTTAGAGAAGACGTCTTTGTCTCTGGAGCAGTGGACTAATGAGAAGAAGACTTTGGAGACGCAGGTGAAACAAAGTCTTTCATTAGAAATCATCTAATTGGGGTCTAAGTGTTGTTCTTGTTATTTGCCTACAATTCCTTTGGGTGTTCTGCTTTCCGTTATCTCACATGAAAATTAATTTTTTCTTATGGTGCAGAATTATATTCAGAGAATCTCAAAAATAGATCTCGTACAAATGAAGGACATTTGTCCTGTTTTTGTTTTTTCATACATTTTTTGAACTTACTACTTTAATGTACTTTCAGCTATTTTACCTATTCATACATCAAGATGCACTCTTTGTAATCTGCTTTAGCTTGTTTCATTTTTAGTATCATGTAGCTAATATTTAGCTAATTTTAGCTCCTGTATGGTTGGTTTTAGCTGTTATCCACAGTTTTGGTGTTAAATCCCAGCTACTGATTTGCTCGTTATAACTTTTAGCTATTTTTCTACTAGTTTTAGATTTTACCTGCTGTGTTCAGTTTTAAGTTTCTGTTAGGAAATGAGCTAACCTTACCTTATCTTAATCGAAGAGTCTTCTCAATGACCACAGACTCTCAGAGAGGTGAAGATTCAACCGGTTTTACTCGCATGCAAGGAGCTCAATCACAGAGGAGCACAGAATCATTGAGCTTCCACAAAATGACCCGTACAGTGTCCACAGCTGAACTGAGTCGTTCTCGGCTCGGTCTTTATTTATAGTGCTGTGAACTTACACAGACATTAGCAGCTGTTACCTCTGAGGCTACGTTGTTTTCCATCTGCAGACAGAGTCTTGTTCCAGACTGGATCAGGCCCTGACTGTCCCTGGGTGGGGAGGAGTGATAAGATCCAAGGCAGGATGATAGGGACAGGGCGAGATGTCCAGCGCAGGGTGCTCGTCTGAGCGGGTGAGGGGGGTGAGGGAAGCGTAAAGCTACAGCAGTGGCGGTAGTTGCCGACAGTGGGGTAGGCATAAGATAAGCAGAGCACTACGTCTGTATTGTAAGCTAGCTTAGCGCTATGTTAGTGCCGGCAGTTGTCGGGGGTGGGGGTTGTGGGTGAAGGTCATTTCGGTAGGCGGTACGGTTGTTTCTGTTGACAGGGCGGGGTACACTCCTTGAATAAGGGTAGGGGAAACACTGACTTTAGTACGGAAGTTTTAGCTTTTTTGGCATATTTCAGCAGTCAGATTTCAGCAGTCAGATTTCAGCAGTCATTCAGCAGATTTAAGCAGTCATTCAGTCAGATTTCAGCAGTAAGATTTCAGCAGTCATTCAGCTGTCAGATTTCAGCAGTCATTCAGTCAGATTTCAGCAGTAAGATTTCATTCAGCTGTCAGATTTCAGCAGTCATTCAGCTGTCAGATTTCAGCAGTCAGAATTCATCTGTCAGATTTCAGCAGTCAGATTTCAGCTGCCAGATTTCAGCTGTCAGATTTCAGCTGTCAGATTTCAGCAGTAAGATTTCAGCAGTCATTCAGCTGTCAGATTTCAGCAGTCAGAATTCATCTGTCAGTTTTCAGCAGTCAGATTTCAGCTGTCAGATTTCAGCTGTCAGATTTCAGCTGTCATTCAGCTGTCAGATTTCAGCAGTCAGAATTCATCTGTCAGAATTCATCTGTCATATTTCAGCAGTCAGATTTCAGCTGTCAGATTTCAGTTGTCAGATTTCAGCTGTCAGATTTCAGCAGTCCTTCAGCAGTCAGATTTCAGCTGTCAGATTTCAGCAGTCAGATTTCAGCTGTCAGATTTCAGCTGTCAGATTTCAGCTGTCAGATTTCAGCAGTCATTCAGCTGTCAGATTTCAGCAGTCAGATTTCAGCAGTCATTCAGCTGTCAGATTTCAGCTGTCAGATTTCAGCTGTCAGATTTCAGCAGTCATTCAGCTGTCAGATTTCAGCAGTCAGATTTCAGCAGTCCTTCAGCTGTCAGATTTCAGCAGTCAGATTTCAGCAGTCAGATTTCAGCAGTCAGATTTCAGCAGTCCTTCAGCTGTCAGATTTCAGCAGTCATTCAGCTGTCAGATTTCAGCTGTCAGATTTCAGCTGTCAGATTTCAGCAGTCAGATTTCAGCAGTCATTCAGCTGTCAGATTTCAGCAGTCAGATTTCAGCAGTCAGATTTCAGCAGTCATTCAGCAGTCAGATTTCAGCAGTCCTTCAGCGCTCTGTGTTAATATTTTAGACCTGTTAAGAAGTGGTACACGTGTGTGGATGTGTACGTTTTACATTCCTGTTACAAACATGTTCAAAGGCTGACTCATGCGTGTTTGATACGTTGGTTAATCTGGAGGCTTCTTGCTGACATCAGAAGTCTATTTTATTTATTGCAGCTGTGCAGATTTAGGCTGAGGGTCCAGATGTTCATCCTGATGTTTGGCTGCCTGCGTCCACAGTGACATCATCGTCAGGCTCAGCATCTGAACCCTGCAGGTTTCACTGCTCTGCTTGGAGAAGCTCAGTTCCAGGGTTTGCATTAGTGATGACTGAACGCCTGCAGCCTCCTGAATCCTCTGCCGTCCTCATCCTGATGTTTTGATCTTTTCTTCTTCCTGCATCCACCTCTTCTTCAGTCCAGCTGTGCAGCTCTCTGCTGCCATCTTGCTTCCTTTCTTCCACGTGTTTCATATTCTGTAAACTGCAGCTGTTCAGCTGGATGGACCAGTCGAGTTTGAGATTTATTTTTTATTTTTTTAATTTAATTTACCCTTTATGTATCCAGGTAGTCTCACTGAGTCACGAGGACTCATTTTCCACAGAGACCTGTTTGGGAGCAGATGGTGGGGGTTAAGGGCCTTGCTCAAGGGTCAGGGTGGGACAAATGAGGGTGGAGGCAGGTGTGGGTGTTTCACCTTTTCCACCCATATTTTGATGATGTCAGTCCAGGGAGTTGAACCTGCGACGTTCAGATCACAGGCCCATCTTCTCTAACCTCTGCGCCACCATTCCCCCAAGATAGAGATCTCCCCAAGAGAGTTGAAAATGCTCCTCCTTCTTTCAGCTTTTCCCTCTTCAGGGTCTCCACAGAGAGTCTTCCTCCTCCATCTCACTCTGTCTTCTGTCCTCACTCTGTCCTCTGTGTCCTCTGTCCTCACTCTGTCCTCTGTGTCCTCTGTCCTCACTCCATCTACCTCCTTGTCCTCTCTAACTGCATCCATACATCTCCTCTTTGTCTTTTTCATGCAGCTGCATTTCTAACATCCTTCTACCAATATACCCACTGTCCCTCCTCTGGACACGTCCAAACCACTGTCCCTCCTCTGG